TGCGATGCTCTCTGTTTTCGGGTATTGTCATTTCAGCATGCATTCATTGATAATGTAACACAACTTATTCTATCATTTCATTCCCCAATGAGTAACTCTTATTATGTGTTCAAGTCGTCATATGGAACGTTTGATACGTTGTGAAAACATAACTTTAACATTCGTAGAATATCAAAAGAATTTGAATTTACATCGATGCTCTTTCTGGATCCATTTTGGTCTTTGCAGACTAACACTATTCTCACCACCAGCCGTCATTGCATTGGTTTTTTATGTTTTCCCGATAATTATGGGCGTTAGTCGAGTCGTCATGGGACGACATTATTTGAGCGATGTTCTTTTTGGTTAGTTATTATAATTCACGTCAGATTATTTTACAGGTATTTCTTTCTTCTTCATTTCAATGATATTCACGATCAGAGAATACTAACGTTCTACCGGTATTGAATAAAACGGCAACATTCATTGATTTATCCAAATTTTGCTGCTCTCTTTTTCGATTTATTTCAAAATCTATGGAATCCCTAAAAAAATTTTGCACCAGTTCACATGAAGTCATACGCAATTGGATTGTAAAAGAAGTAGTTCGGAAAATATTTGTGAAGTAACCTGAATTCATCGAGTGTTAAGGACTAACACTGGGTTGCATCGAAGGCCACGTCGCGCAGTTATTACCCTACAGCGTAATACCGTTTCTGAAGCAGTCACTTCCAGTCGTTTTCGCATTCGATAAATCATAAAATATTCACTGTTATTGACGTTGAAATCTCGTGATTCGTGATGAATATTTCTGCAAAATGCGTTGGATACTATCATAGTAATGTGAATGTTGTGACATAACTTGTATAAAGTATAATTTCTATTGCGTTCTAAATAACAGTTCAATGAAATTAATCAACACAATACGAGCAGAATCAAATAAAACAGATCGGCTCGATAAAGGTAAGATAATGATTGAACACGGCGAAACTATAACGACACATGAAAAATCACATAACGAATATTTGTGACAGCAGAAATACTCATGCTAACGCGATGAGCAATCAGTTTGTTCTAGTGATGGCATCGGATCGACGACCTGCCGGAAAAATCCGACAAATTCGCTCGGAATTTCGAATGTCGGAGTGTTAGAATGTGAATACAGTCAGATTCCGACCGAACAATTCAAACGCTTGGATTCCGATAGTTCAGTCACAAAACTCCGCTCGGGTACCATCATTAGTTTGTTCAGCGATAGATCAGTTTTTATTATTCACTTGCAGTATTCAAATTGACGCGATTCGACGCTTTGAACTCATCATTAATAACACACTTTTCCGTTCCATTCACACAATGCCAGTCCCAGGTTCCAAGAAAATTGTGTGTCCTGGTGTCCTGAAGATTCAGTTTTCGGAGAAATACCTGTATTTGTAAAGATATCTGCTCGCAAACGGAGTATATTGAGTGGTTTTTTAAGCAATCTTCTGAACGCTTATTTTCGAAGTGTTACCTAATGATTTCTTATGTTCGCACATTGTTTTCTACTTTGATGATAATCAAAATTAGTGCGAGTGGATAGTGGCATTAGTGCACATTCGTACAAATCGTTTCATCTGATAAGATTCACCAAAATGAACCAACCATAAAATACTGAATGCATATGGTACGGGTATATCTTGTGCACTGGGTTTAGTACCGCGCATTAACGACAACTCTTTGTATGATATAAGCTCTCATTACCTCAAATAATTAATCCATCATCAAAAAATCTGATTTTCTTTCACACTGTGCTATAGAGCAATGAATCATTAAAGCAAATAAAATGCACATCTCATCTGATACCCTCTGAGACGGTATAATTGAAGATCATTTAATTATGTTCCTGGGCAAACCTGAGAAGATGGTGGTCCTGAAGACGGCAACTTACATATTCCTATAGTAACGTGTAGCTTGATCTGTAGCGAGCGATCAATGTATGAATATATTAATGAGTGTCACTGCGCTAGATGAGATAGCTTTAAAATAATAGCTATATCTCCTCAACAAAGCAAAATCCATCAACAAGATATATGTTTTTCTGAATCTAGAGGATCTGCTGGATCTAATGGTGCACAATGGTTGATATGTTGCTGAGCAAACT